TCTCGATTAATTTTTTCTGTTTTTTTTAAAAAATCGTTGAAATTTTTCACCAAAATCGGTGCTATCTCCTCACAATATTTTTTTTATAAAATTCATGTTTCAAATTCAAATTCAGGTATACGTCGATTCCTGGGGTCCTATGTTTGCTAGAATTTTTTATGACTTGTATGACTTCTTCTTCTGTTTATCCTATCCTGTCTTAGTTTTTCATTAAAAATGAGATTTATGTTTTTATAATTTTCGAGACCGTTATTTATTACATTTACATTAACTTCCTGTTTTTATTAAATATATTTGAGTATGAATTTTCTATTTCATTGATTATTTCAGTAGTTTTATTAATTAATGTGTAAAGAATTCAGGATATCTTATATATAAAAATGGATCGCAAAATGTGTTGGTAAGCGCATAGCTCAACAACGCCTGGACCAATTTGCCCAATTATTCTTTTAAAATGTTCGTTCATGTCCAAGGATGGTTCTTACGGCGAGAAAAAATCGAATAATTGCCGGGAAAACCCTAAAAACAGCCCTTTTCCTTTTTAATCGAGTAGGCAACGAAATTTGTAGAAAAAACAATGATCTATGTTATGACATTTTGTGTAGTTTTTGATAATCTAATTTTTATTATATTTATATAAACATGTAAATATCTTTCTATTAATTAACGAGCTATATTTCAAGAACAAATTTGAGGCGAATCGGTTGATTTGGCAACTAACCAAGACGATCCACCGGAGTTTTTAAACTCGCTGGATTTGCTAGGATTGTCACCTCACAATCTTCAATTAAAGGTTGGATCGGCAATTATAATGTTGCAAAATATCGACCAACCGCGCATTTGCAACCGTTGCAAATTCGAAGGTTAGCGATAAAAAAACTACCAAACAACGTGATGGAAGCTACTATATTGAAAGAATAGTATAAAGCAGTAGATGTTCTCGCACCTTGCATTCCAATGTTTCCGACTGATATACTATTTGAGATTAAACGACTACAGTTTCCAGTGCGTTTATGGTATCGTTAAGTATTTGTGGTATTAATTTGGAAAATCCATGTTTCTCACATGGAAAAATGTATGTTGTCTGTTCCCGTATTGGAAAACCATCAGATTTGTTTGTCTATGCGCCAGGTAATCAAACAAAAAACATTGTTTATCACAAAGCACTACAATGAAAATTGAACTGAATTTTGAATTATGATTTGCATGATTAAAATTACTTACTTTTAAATGCTTATAGTGTTTTATTTAATTATTTTTAATTCACACCGAATTATTACCAGGGTGACGGTTGTGTTCGGAATAATTTTTTGCAAAGAATAGTAAAAAGGTAGGAACAAAACACCGCCACATTACAAATTTTTTTGACAGGACAAAGTCTGTCGGGTCGGCTAGTTTTTAATAAATTTGTTTTCTCCGTTTCTTTTTTTCTTTGGTATTCAATACGTTGTTAATCGCTCTTCTTCTGTTATAGTTTGAGTTTTTGATCTTATTTTAATTTCATCATTTTTTATATCATATAAAATTGTTAAAATTGTATTTTTAAATTCAAATATTTCTTGTATTGGTTAATCTCTTGCTAAGTATTTAATTTTTTTCATGGCATGTTTTTGACACCATTCTATTATATTCATATTTTTGAACGATCCTTTAATTTTTTTCCATTTCACTTGGAATTTATTATCAAATTCTTGGTTCTGGAGAATTTGGCAGTTCATTTTCCAAAATCCTTTACCGATTACAGGTGTACAGGATTACCTGTATTGATGTTTTGATTTTCAATATGACTGCCATGTGATCCGAGAACGCTACCGGCATAGTGTTACCATGCTATTACTTGTTTGGAAACTATTGAGTCAACATAGAATCGATCTAGTCTCAAAGCAGATTTACCAGCAGCTAATAAATGTGTATTTTATTTCATTTTTAACTTCCCGAAGCCATTGGCTTTCAAGCCATTCTGAATCAAATGAGACCAAATTTTGAAAAAGTATGTGTGTGTGTGTGTGAACAGATTTTTTGACATAAATCGACGTTTTCTCCAAAACGGATGGACTGATTTCAAAAATTTAAAAGCCATTCGATGTAATTCGATGAGGACTAGCGTTTCTGAGTTCCGTGCGACCATCGGCCGGGCCGTTTCTTTGTAAATTGCAGAAAAGTGAAAAAAATTTCGTCCACGTTTTAGCCTGCAATTCTGAATCGATTTTCAAAATTCAAAAACCATTCGATAGATATTGATTGGGAATCGCGCTGATTAGTTTTTGGTAAAGATCGGCCGGGCCGTTTTCTTGTAATAAAATTAAAAAAATATTTCGACGATTTTTATGATTTTTTGAAGATACATACCATAGTCTTCTAGATCATACTAAAATATTACGGCCCTACGATAACTGGTTCAACTTTAAAAATTCGTCAAAGTTTGTAAAAATTGGTATCGTTTTTTTGGCATTTGTCAAAATTAGACCTTTGATCGACGTTTTCTCAAAAACGCATGAACCGATTTTAGAAATTTAAAAGCCATTTGATGTATTTCGGCGAGGACTATCGTTTGTCAGTTTTGTGTGACGATCTGCCAAGCCGTTTCTTTGCAATTTGACAAAAAGTTTTAAACTTTTCGTCCACATTTAAGCTCATCCTACCGAACCGATTTTAAAAAATCAAAAACTGTTCGAAAGATATTAGTTGGGAAGGCCGTTTTCTTGTAATTAACTGTTAAAAAAAGTGTTAAACTTTTCGTCCACATTTAAGCTCATCCTACCGAACCGATTTAAAAAAAAACAAAAACTGTTCGAAAGATATTAGTTGGGAATGGTACTGATTAAATTTAGGTGAAAATCTACGGAGCCGTTTTCTTGTAATTAACTGTTAAAAAAAATGTTAATTTTTTCGTGCACATTTAAGGTCATCCTACCGAACCGATTTTAAAAAATCAAAAACTATTCGAAAGATATTAGTTGGGAATGGTACTGATTAATTTTAGGTGAAAATCTACCGAGCCGTTTTCTTGTAACTAACTGTTGAAAAAAAAATTTAAGCCGATTTTTATGGATTTCTTTTTAGCGATATATACCATGGTCTTATAAAACTTACAGAAATTACGGCCTTACGACAAAGAGTTTGATTCTAAAAATTCATCAAAAATGAGTAAATGAGTAGTTCTTTTGACATTTGTTAAAATTAAAATTAGACTATTTACTTGGCATAATGATACAGTACTTGGTCTTGAACATAATAAACCATTATAGTCCTGGAAACTGGTTAAATTATAAAAATTATTGATTTTTTTAAATTTGCTTTTAGAAAATACTCCGAGTCAAAGTGTTCGTTCGTTTTTAATTATGTGTAATAAATCCACTCGGAATACTTTTAATCACTCATAAATTAATTTATTTTTTATTGATTAAGTCGATTATTTAAACATATCGGGAAGTTCATGTAACTTGCCCTAAGGCTAAATACCAAACCAACTAGTTACTCTTAAATTGCTTCAAATAAATCCTTATGTTTGCTGAGGTAGTCTACATGTAAAACATTTTTTTATTGTATAGTAAGAAATTCAATTGTCAATTAGTAGAAAATACTTTTTTGATCGGTTTCGTAGTTTTCGTTTAGTGTTCGTTGAAAGATAGAAAATCAAAACAAACATTTTTGTCATATTTTGCATTTTCCTAAAGTCAGATGCTGTTTATGGTGTCGAAGCCTTAAAATATGTCAAAGTTGGTTTGGAAAATTTCATCCTGGTGATATTTCACTCAATGTTGCTCTGATTGTCCAGTTAAAGTTGTGGACAACTTAATTAAAGCAATAATCGATTCGGCTAATAGAATCAACTCGGCTATGTTTAAAAATTATTGGGGCTTGGTTGGAATGTTTCTCCACATTCAACAAATAGTCGCGACCATGAACCATTTGATTAAAACCCTTGAATTAAAAAAATTATGATGTCAAATTGTGCCTAATTCAGTTTTCTAATAAAAACTGAAAGTTTTTATTATCGTGGGACGATGATGCTTCTTGGAAGATAACAAAAGATCACCGATCAAAATGGTCAATACATGACAGCACAAGGTTATTTAATTCCACGCAAAAATTAGTTTTGATTTTCTAACAATAATGTACACTTATTTAGATGTCAACCTGATAACTACAAATTTCGAACAAAAATGCGCACTTACTCAGTTGCTAACATAATAACTACAAATCTCCGTTCCTATTTTAAAATAAAAAAAAGATTTAACAAAAAAAGATATATAAAAATTAGATATAATTTCTTTCTGAGTTAAGAAAATGTCTACCAGCTAAGTAGACTCGTTAAAAAATGGCTTTATGAAGAAACTGAAACCAAATGCCCATATGTAACCATATACACAAAAATTTGCTATAATTTATTGATAAAAAAATAGACTTGAAATAACATAACATGGAGACTTGAGTTTAAAGCTCAGTAAGTTAGAACCTAATATAAAATCTTTGTGCAGCATGCACCAAGCTTAAGTATTGCATTAAATCAATTTCGAAAAAACAATCATAAAATTAATTGAAAATTTCCGTTTTTTTTGTCTTATTCCGAAATTTTATGATGTTTGATAACAATGTATTAATGATTTTATCTTGAAAATTATAATTCACATTTTTTCAGGCAAAATAAAAATTGTTTTTAGAAACTTCAAGGTGGGGCGGGGCCCAATAGTTTATATACTATACCAATTATGTGAATTGTTTTTGTTGCTATTCAATAAGTAAATAGTTTATTCTTCGAGGAATTTAAGTTAACGTTGCCGCAGTATGGAGCAAATTAACTACAATTTAGATTAAGTGTGTCATGATTTTATATACATAAAATAAAAGGTTGTTCAAAAATACCGATGTCTAATAAAATAATCATTGAATTAGAGCGTTGATTTTTAATTAAATACGTCTAATTAGCGAAACGAAATTAAATCAGAATATTAATATGTATTAGCAATAGTTTAATGTTAGAAGTTGATACAACTTACCTCATACATAGGCTCAGATTCGGCACTCCCAGTTGTAAGGGCAATGTGTGCATCATTTGATGCACGTACTTTAAAGTTTATGGAGCCACCAGTTACAGGGTTGTATTGGTATTCCAGTGCATCTTCTGTAGTTATTTCTAGATTGATTATAAATACGTACAGAGAATTATTATAGGGGCTGCAGAATAGTAATTACGAGTATAATTTGTAAATGTAAGTATTTATACAATCATTCTATAAGTGTTCGAAAACTGCTTAATATGATGAAAATATTGAACAGTTTTCTATTATATAGTTATATTTGTTAATATTTCTGTAACTATTGTTTATTAATAATTGTTATATTTATTATTATTATTATTAATGTTATTATTATTAACTTCCCGTAGGGTAAGTTATAGTAATCGCAAAAAAATCGAAAATGAAATTTTTGATATATTTTTACGTTCCAAATTTATGCGTGTGTGTGTGCGCGTGTGCGGATACAAATTTTCGTCGACGATTTCGGTAACACCGATCAACCGATTTAAATAATTTAAAAAACATTCGATTCGTATTGATAAAGAGACGTGCTGATTAGTTTTTGGCGGAGACAAGTCTAGCCGCAAAAACGGTAACAGTTTTTAAGAGAACGGAGCATCCGATTTTAATAATTCAAAAAACATTTTACTTGTATTGACAAGATGAAGTACTGTTTAAATTTTTGTAAGGCAGGTCTAGCGGTTATGGACTCTCAATAAAAATATGTTAAAAAATGGTTTGGTATTTTGCCTTGAGGCAAGTTACATGAACTTCCCGATATGATTAAATAATCGACTTAATCAATAAAAAATAAATTAACTTATAATCCATTAAAAGTATTCCGAGGGGATTTATTACACATAATTGAAAACGAACCAACACGTTAACTCGGAGTATTTTCTAAAAGCAAATTTTCAAAGATTAGTAATTTTTATAATTAAACCAGTTTCCTTAGGACTTTAATGGTTTATTGTGTTCATTAAGACCAAGTACTCTATCGTTATACCGAGTAATTCGTCTAATTTCAATTTTAACAAACGTCAAAAAACTACTCATGTTCTTAAAATTTGGTGAATTTTTAAAATTAAACTACTTGTCGTAAGGGCGTAATATTTCAATAAGTTGTATAAGATCGTGATATATATCGCCAAAAAAAGTTCCATAAAAATCGGCTTAAATTTTTTCGAACAGTTAATTACAAGAAAACGGCTCGGCAGATTTTCACCTAGAACTAATCAGTATCATTGCCAACTAATATCTTTCGAACAGTTTTTGATTTTTTAAAATCGATTCGGTAGTTTGAGCTTGAATGTGGACGAAGAGTTTAACACTTTTTTTCAAATTACAAAGAAAGGGTTCGGCAGATCGTCTCACATAACTGATAAACGATAGTCCTCATTGAGATACATCAAATGACTTTTAAATTTCTGAAATCGGTTCAGGCGTTTTTGAGAAAACGTCGATCAAAAGTCTAATTTTGACAAATGCCAAAAGAACGATACTAATTTTTGCAAACTTTGATGAATTTTTAAAGCTGAACGAGTTGTCGTAGGGCTGTAATATTTTAGTATGATCTACAATACTATGGTATTTACCATCAAAAAAATAATAATGAAAATCGTCGAAATTTTTTTTAAAAAACTTTGTTACAAGAAAACGGCCCGGCCGATCTTTACCAAAAACTAATCAGCACGATTCCCAACCAATATCTTTCGAACGGTTTTTGAATTTTCAAAATCGATTAAGAATTGCGGGCTAAAACGTGGACGAAAAATTTTTCACTTTTCTGCAATTTACAACGAAACGGCTCGGCCGATCGTCACACAAAACTCAGAAACGCTAGTCCTCATCGAAATACATTGAATGGCTTTTAAATTTTTGAAATCGGTCCAACAGTTTTTGAGAAAACTGTCTATTTATGGCAAAAAATCTGTTCACATACACGCACACACACACACACACACACACATACACACACACTTACTTTTTCCAAATTTGGTCTCATTCGATTCAGAATGGCTTGAAACGTCGAGAAAACATAAAATTAGCGAATCGGATTTTTTTATGAAAACATAAACTTCTCCTTCGGGAAGTTAAAAATGCCACTTGGCGGTCAAAAATGTTCATTGGACTTATGTACATTAAATTATCAGATATTTTATAGAGATTTTAATAATATGTACACATTTTGTGTATTTTTTTTTTTGAGTTTCGTACCTAGATTTTTAATTTTAAATTTCACGTATATTGTTCTAATAAATGTCCTTGACATTTTCGACAGTATGGAATAACCGATTTAAATAATTTAAAAAACTTTTGATTCGTATTGTTAAGGAGACGTGTTGATTAGTTTTTGGCATAGACAGGTCAAGCCGTTTCGAAGATACGGGGCAAAAAAAAAACAAAAATTATAATTCAGTTTTTGAGAGAGCGAGAGAGTCCAATTTGAATAATCCAAAAAGCATTTTATTTGTATTGATTAACGAAGAACAGTTGAAATTATTGGAAAGGCAGATACAACGGTTATGGACTCTCAATATTTTTTTAAATGTAATTTGGCGGTAAAAATGTCCACTAGACATCAAATTATCAGATATTTTATAGAGATTTTAATAATTTGTACACATTTTGTGTCATTTTTTTGGGTTCTGTACCAAGATTTTTAATTTTAAAATTCACGTATATGGCTCAAACAAATGTCCTCGACATTTTCGACAGTGTGGAATAACCGATTCAAATAATTGACTAGCTGTAAGTGGAATTCTGTCTTAAGGTAATTAAGGCATCGTGCCTTAAGGCAAATTGCTGGAACTTCCCGTACCAAAATTATTATTTTTTTTTTTAAACGATTAAAATAAGATTTTTGAGAAACTATAAATTGGACCAAAAATTACTTTTTTTTTGAAAAAAAAAATTAAAAAAAAAAATTTATTTTTTTTTTTTTGAAAAAAAAATGTTTTCTTTATTTTGACATATTTTGGAAGATCTAAACTTTTTTTCAAAGCAATCGTACTGCTTTAACTGCATAAAGAGAAAATATCAAAGCGTGTAAGCGCCGCGTCGCCGTCTAACGCGTAAACATTGGTACGGAACCCATAGGACTGTAAACCAAATTCATACTTATTGTTAAAATCTCTATAAAATATCTGATAATTTGATGTGCATAAGTCTAATGATCATTTTTGACCGCCAAATGGCATTTTTTTTACTTTTTTCATTAGATCTCCGAAACCGCTAGACCTGCCTTTATGAAAATTTGATCGGTTCTTCACCTTGTCAATATAAGTAAAATGTTTTTTGAATTATTAAAATCGGACGCTCCGTTCTCTTACAAACTGAGTTACCGTTTTCGGCACTTTTTGCCCCGTATCTTCGGAACGGCTAGACCTCCCTGCGCCAAAAACTAATCAGCACGTCTCCTTATCAATACGAATCGAATGTTTTTTAAATTATTAAAATCGGTTGATCCGTGTTCCCAAAATCGTCGACGAAAATTTGTATCCGCACATACATACACACGTACATACACACACACACACACACATATACATCCATTTTTTCTAAGGCATGCCAAAATTTTCAGAAATCTTTGAAACGTAAATATATATAAAAATTTTCATTTTCGATTTTTTTGCGATTACTATAACTTGCCCTACTGGAAGTTAATAAAACATTCGATTCGTACTCGATCGCGAAGCGGTTTTGCCAAAGACAATTTTACCCTTTCGGAAAAATGGTGGGTGTAAATTATTGGAAAGGCAGATCCAACGGTTATGGACTCTTAATAATTTTTTAAATGTAATTTCGCGATAAAAATGTCCACTAGACATAGGGACATCAAATTATCAGATATTTTTTTATAGAGATTTTAATAATGTGTACACATTTTGTGTCAATTTTTTTGGGTTCTGTACCAAGATTTTTAATTTTAAAATTCACGTATATGGCTCAAACAAATGTCCTAGACATTTTCGACAGTACGGAATAATCGATTTATATGATTGAAAAATCATTCGGTTCGTACTCTATAGCGAGGCGTTTTAGCAAAAGGCAATTTTGCCGTTTCGGAGGTATGGAAAGCAAAGGTTGTGAAAACGGTTAAGCAGTTTTTGAAATAACGGATTATTCGATAAGATTAATTCAAAAAACATTTTGCTTGAGTAGATGGTGTGCAAAAAATGCATTTACAGAAAATTTAGTAATTTTAAAAAATTTCAAAAAAAAAATCAAAATTTTCTAAAAAAAAATCCAATTTTCAAAAAAATCAAGTTTGCGAAATTTATCATCATTTTCAAAAAAAAAACTAAATTTTGAAAAATTAAGAAAAATTGGTTTCTTACAAAAATTTGAGAATATTTCCAAAATTTAAAAAAATAATCACAATATTAAAATCTCTATAAAATATCTGATAATTTGATGTACATATATGTGTACCCTTAAATGTTTACAAAGGTTTTACTCGGCCTTTACCCGAATTGAATCGATCCAAAAAAAAAACATATTTTCTTTTTTTCTCTGCAACAAAATTCTTTTTACAATTTGTTGGAGGTTTTGTTACATCGAAAGATATTAAATATTTTCAAGCGCGAACCGCGCTTTTCACGTCGGGGACCTCAAAGACTTGTACTCATTTGCCACTTTCGAATGACAATTTTATTGTTTTTCGGTTGAAAAATATTTTATAATTTCGCTTCTGGCGAAAAATGAACATATAGTCGAAAAAAACATTAGGGGAGAGCGGAGCTTAAAAGTTCGTGGGTAAAAAGATCCACTGCCAATATCTCAAAAACAAGTGAAGTTAGAAATTTTTAACAACATTTATTTGAATTGTAGAATTGAATGTAGAGGAATATTTAAGTTGGCTTCAACCCTTTCTGATATAATCTCTACTAAAGCTTACATGTGGGTGGGGTAAACAGAGTCAACCACACCTTCATACTGGCTTAGGTGTAAATAATAAGGAAATAGTAAATAAAAAATTAAATTAAGTTAGAAAAAAGCTATTTTACAATATATATATATATATATATATATATATATATATAAATTAATAGTAAATTAACTCTGCTGATAAATATTTCTGACAAAGCATCAGATCAAAGGTATATCTGGTATT